ATGCACCTTTAAAAGCTGTATTTGCTTTAGAACTGAGTGTTGAAAGACCTTACACGGAGACTAGTTTCAAAATATTATGCCTGTATCTTCTTTGAGCAATATACATATCTTCACTTTTCTGCTATACTTATATAAAAAGAAGTTTTTACCTTCCCAGAGAGAAAAGAAAGCTGGTCCAAAAGCAGTGCAGATGGCTCCTTGGTATTCTTTCTTGACAGGCTCCTGGACAGAATATTTTAAGGAAACTAAAGAACTATGAATCTATTTTGCAAATCATGTTACCACCATATTTCAAGCAAAGACTACAAGTGTCTAATTTTTGATACTCCAGTATCACAATCTATACAAAAGTCACCTTTCCAGGCAAAGTGATACACTTGGAAATGTATGACAAAATACACTACTGACAGCTTTAATGTAGGCAGACATAAAGAGCTATTTATGTACTCAAAGTTCTGACTGGCTTATACATCCCAAGCTACTATCATTACTCCAAGATGAGTACCAGAAGCACATACATTTACACCTGGAGATCTCTGCAGCATACACAACTCAAGAGAAAACTACTCTGCTATACCTTGCCACAGATTTTGCACCTGCACAGTAACAACATGATTTGTGGACAAATGCTCCTATATTGTGAACCATGCTATATTATGCTCATTAACTACTAAGGCTTGAGGTTTTTTAGAGCTTACACAGAATATACATTTCTCTATTCTTTTCCCACAAATAGCATGCACATCACCAGACAGATAATATGTGCAGTAATATCAACAATATCTTGTTATTGTTACTGTAATTTAAATTTTAAAATTAAAAAGTGAATTGTCACTATGACTTTCAGCAGGGTAGAAAGGAATAAGCCTCACGTGTTGCTTCCACCAGTAGATCTTGATTGTTTTCTTTCTGCTAATGACCATTATCAGTAGTTGTTTAGATCTTCAAAAAAGGATACAGCTCAAATTCCAGATCTGATATAAAAATGGGAGGTATATCAGAGAGCACCACCATCCGTAAAAATTCCAGCGTAGGACCATAGTAATGAAAAACCTGGAAAGAGATCAAATCAAAAAACCTGTAACACTATATGCAATGTTATCTCAGCAGAACTTCCCCAAGTATTTTGCTGGAGGCATTTGCCTGGCAGATAACATCTGAAAGAGGTATAAAGGAACAGAAAAACATTTCACCATACCATATTAAACAGAATTATATTAAAAAAAAAACCAAGGAAAGTATTTAATTGTTTGATAAAGCTTACTTTCTAGAATGTCAACCATGTGCACCAAATAAATTGTACTTCTTATCCAAAGAAAAATAAGATCCACCAGGAAGAGACAAATACAATCCAAAATGTACATATTTTAACAGTGAAAATAAACTCTGAACTGATATCGGTTTTCATAAACACTCATAGCTATTTTCATCAACCAATATGATTCTGGAGTTCCCATCAATTATCTACTTCTAGTGGAAAACATGAAACAGCAACAGTAAAAAGCCAAACCAAACCAAAAACCAACACAAACACACTTTTAAAATTAAGTGTAAAAGGTTAGATAAATGCATATTTCATAATTTAGATAGTATGAGTATTAAGACCAAAGTCTCAATTTCTACTTGAAATAAGTTTAATATCATATTCCTAAGAGTAGACATGAAATTTTAAGGGTCGGTTTTGAGAACACATGAACAAAAGAAGTATTCCTCAATCTTATGCAAATGTTATTTTGATGTTTAACTATCAGTTCTGACTGAGGTTTCCCCAGTTGCTAATTTTCTCAGGAAAATGAAACAGATAAAGTCTAAAACTCCAAGAAAGAACAACAATACTTGCTTCTGGCACAGCATCAGTATTCTTCGATTGCTGCTCTTTTTTAACAGCAAAGAAAGAACTTAAATGTGCAGTGCTGAATGTCTTCGCTGAAGTGCTCTTTATACAGAATTCTGGAAAGTCAACTCCTGATCCAAACTGGAAAGGAAAAAAAAAAAAGTTATCATTAATGTGCCAAAAAAGAGAGAAAAATTATTTCTCTTTTCATACTATCAAAACTAAATTTGGTTTAAGACAAAACACACTGTGCAATTCATGCTTTAAATCAGCTACACAGATGCTTTAAAAGATAACTACAGCTGAAAAAAGTTACTGTACCTTTTTTTCCCATATCTGAATCTTCCCTCTCCAGAGTTCTTTTAAATCAATAGTATTTGTGACATCATCTGAAGAGACCAAGTCTGCTGACAGATAGTCTGCAATCTTTTGCCAGCTACTGTAAAAATATGGAAGAACTAATCTTACTGAATTTAGCATTACAAATTAACATGCAGTGCAATTTGACTGAATTTACCTATTAACTCTTACACACACAAAACTGTTCCATGCTAAGAGAAATATATAGCTTTACATTTCACAAAGTAAAAAATATCACACAGCTCCTCACTCAGGCTGTGAAGGAAGTTGTTCATATGCTCCATGAATGTGACAGCAAAGAGCTTCAACAGACATCCAGTAAGACTAGCAATGGCAAGCTGCAGGCACACCACAGTAAGGCTGGGTGCTAGGAGCTGCTGCAAAGCCAGGAAGCTACACCTGGTCCATCTAGATGGTTCATAGATAACCCTCTAAGCAGAGATATGACTGCAGCATAAGCATTACCCAAATGCAACAAGGGAGAGAACAGGCAGTGTCTGTGGGTTCTATTGGCAGTCTGTGTTTTTAGAGAAATTAGCACCATCAGCAGGACAGGAACAGTAAGTGCCATGACTTGCATCAGATACATTCTACACCCAAAAATTTTACATAAAAGGCAACAGAAAAAGTTATTCAGTCAAAAACTGCTTCCACAGGATGGTATCAATGAGCACTGAGATCGACTGCTTGTGAAAATCACTGCAGGAAGTTTATGGTCCTCCATATACCTCAGGAAGTAGTACTATGTAGCAGGTATATTGCCTATTCTGTCCAAGGACTAAACATTCAACTTTTGGATTTTAAATGGTTTTATTAATTTATGATTAAGCTTAACCAGATATGCTGTGACACAAACTTGAATCTTTAGGATATGAAGGGAGGGGAACTGGAAGAGACCTTGCCAAGTTATTCAATATCCACATTCGCTGCATAGGTGAAAAAACCCCAAAGCACTGTGGTTTATATGTTGAGACATATCATGACCTCTTTATGTCAATTAGAGGAGGACAGTAACGAAATTACCGGGCATAATTTCAAATTGAATTCATAGTCTCAGCGACCCTCCAGAACAATACTCTTCAGAAGCATGCAGGAAGCAACTGAGCATTTACACTCCTTTTTCAAAAGGGACAAATCCAACACTCTTTATTTTTCCTCCCTGAAGTGTAATACCAAAGGTAATATAAAACTTCCAGTAAAACCAGCAGAGTTCAGCATTCATTTTAAAAACCTGGAAAACTAAAATCAATGCAAGCTTTTATGTAGCACAGTACATCTTCAAAACATTGTAAGCACACTGAAGCCACTAGCAATGGAAAGGGAAGAGAAAATATTTAACCTTCTGCTCCCAAAGAAAACAAAAATTTCACAGGATTTACTTTTGCTGCTCCTCTGGTTAGGACATAAAATAATGTATTTAAATGTATGTATTTAGAATAAATCACCATGAGTATCTGCTCTCTTCATACCATAACAGAAGACTAATCCATGTATTTTCAAAGTATACAGTTAAAGTACTCAAGGCACTGGTTTTATTTTAAACCACTGACCTATACTAACACAAAACAAGAGTGACCTTGTTCACAGGCCTGAAACAAACAGCATACCCTTTAGTGTCACTTGCTGCAATGGTGATCCGTGCAGAGTGCCATTCTCTCAGGTGTTTCAGGGCACCGATAGCAGGTAAACAATCTTTTAACTTGGGTCCATCTTGTTCAACAGCCTGCAGTATTACATCCACCATGGCTCTGCCTGTAAAAAGTTACATAGGACTCAAAGTACCATGATTCACTAAATTATTCTGTCATTTAAAGATAGAGGATTGCACTAAAATGGGCAAAAAGATGAACTTCGAGTAAGTTCAGCAAGATTTAAAACACGTGCTATGCATTCTAGCTTATCTCTTGCTGCTCCTCTTACATGAGCATGCACTATTTTGCCATTCCCTCAGTTACAGCAGTTCTATACTTTCATCCTCTTTCAGCACTGACAGACAAGTTGTCTCTCATACCTCATTTTCCTCCTTTCAACACCCTAAACTGCTATTTCTCATTCTTTCTGCATTCCTTTGCTATCCCAAATCAACTACTGCAGCATTATGTAGCCCTAACATGCCAAGTGACAGGTACCTCCAGTTTACAAGATCTGAATCCAACAGTTCTGATCTGTGTTCCTTCACAGCCTCTTGGCTCCCACCCACAAGCAATCAGCTGGCAAATCAGATCTAAGCCTGCTGTCAGCATTGTCTTCTTTCTTCATATAAAACTTCCTGTGTTGAGTTCTGTATTGCTTACTGTCTGTTACTACTTTGGTGCTATTTCAGATGGAAAAATTAATTATGCAAATAGCTACCTCAGACTTCACTGAAACACAACCTTCCAAAAGAACAAGCAGCAAACTACTCCATAAACTGATTCACAATGTCAATCATGCTCAAGTTCCTTAAACAAGCTGCATTAAGTTAATTTAACTAACAAACTAACGTCCTCTGAACTTTTAAATTTGACTGATTTTCCCAGATGAGTTTTTAGAGCAATTACTAAAGCTAAACTCCCGTGAGATTGCTTTTTAATGAGAGATTACCTGGGGCAGGCAGTTTGTCAGCTAACTGATGCAGACTTTCAGCAGCTTCATCATAGATACTGAAAATGAAGAGCAACATGGTTGGAAACAAAATATAACCAAAGTTATTTAGAAAAAAAAATGAATACTACCTGTTCTAAGCATCTTCTATCTTCAAAACTCTGCACAAACATACCTAGGCAATGAGAAATACTTATCTCCCCTTATATCGAGGCAGAAGTAGCCCGAAAGACAACAAAACAATGAAGTAAAACTGGAAGTAGGATTCTAGACAAATTAACAAGAAACTTCTTTTTGTATTTGTAAATGTCAGCACTTAGGAAACTGTAGTTATTCTATAAAAATCATCTGCAGCTAAAAAAATTAAAGCTATGTTAAATGGAACAATTATTTTCAGTAGTTGTAAGGACTGTTCACAATTAACTGTTTTGTGGTAGTAACTTTTATTTGTTAAATTTCCTTGATTCCCTTGGGTTAGTATTGCTAAGAGTCAGATCACCATACTTCCCATACAACTACTAATGTGCATACTCAGTCAGAGACAGCGACTCTCGACTGTTATTCTCATCTTCCTCAAAGTTTTGTATGGCTCCCAGATATTCATCAATGCTTGTTTGGAGAGAGTCTTCATTCTTCTGTGTGTCAACATTTATTTCCTCCCAGTCAGAACTGCAAAACTAATCAAGCAAAAAGACTTAATTAAGCAAAAAAAGAATGTTGAACATCAGATATTTAACTTACTGTACAGACAGCTGAGGAACTTCTATACTAAAAAAAAGTATGTCTTACCTGATAATAACCACATATAACATGACTTGCAAAATACCATTTCTTTGCACCTGGAGCACCGGACACTGAACATGCTGCAGAGAGATAAAGTAATTATTTAAAATAATCGATCTACTACAATCCACTCTTCCTATTTCCTGTTGAAGGACTCTACTTAAGTCATTTAACATGCCACAATGACTTTGGCATTGTAATTAAGTTCTAAACCTATTAAGGTGTAGATAAGTGTCTTGGGAAGTATCTAAATACTGCTGATCCTCAGACTGCTAATAAGTAAGAAAACCTTTGACATCTATTCTGGGTAATATTGCTTTCCACTTGCAGAAGTGGAACTAAATCACAGCTTTTATAAATATGGTTTACAGAGTTCACAGAATGAGCTGGTCTCTAAATATTCCTACACAAGAAAGAGCACAGAAATTGACAACAGCTTAACATTCCCATCTTCCTGAATTTTAACAGCCAGTAGTGGTTTCCCCATATGAATTCCAATTATATGACAGCTGTGACAAGAGGAGCTTTTAATAGCACAACACTAGATATCCAAACCAAGTAAAGAACTAGGACAGCATTTTTTGAACAAAAAACCCCACAAAACCATAAACACCCAGCCCCTAAAAATACCAAAGCAGATTCTCAGAAATCTATTTTAAGATGATAAAATGATTTAATAAGCATTCATGGATTTGGGTTCTAAGTTGATACCAAACAGAGAAATACTGCTTCAACTGAAAAAGTCAGAAGATATTATAGGAGTAATGAAAATATCATGCTGCCCCCTCACATGAGAAACAAGCCCTCTCCTACTTTTCCTTGCTAACCTAGATGGAAATTTGTCAACTTTGCAAAACCATTCTCTTTTATTTCTTATGTCCAGTCTCTCTAATCATGTCCTAACACCTCAGCTGCTGAAATGACAGAAAAAAGAGCAGCAGGAGCAGCCCCACACTGCAGAAATTGGGTCTCCTTAAATTTCTGACATGTTTCCCTAGATCATAAAATGTGCCTAGGCCAATTCCTTGACAACGTTTGCCCTACCTTACTGTCCGTTGCTAAATTTACCTGGGAACACGCTCACATCTGCATTTGTGGATACATCACAGCTTTCTTTCAGGAACTGATACAGGCTTGCAGCAGTCACAGCTGAAAAAAAAGAACCACAAATTTTTCTTAAAACTACTGAATTACGGAAGTAAAACCTTGCTTTCCTACAAATAAAGTTCGGTTTAATATTCTATTTTTTCAAAAAAAGAAGAGCTGCATCTGCAGGAGTTTAACTCAGCAAATTCTGCAAAGTTCTCGTTAAGGTCGCGCTCAGGAACACCCCGAGTTGGTTACGCAGCAGAGTCGCGATAGAGCAGGTAAACACCCAAGCTTCTGCGGGTTAAGGTCACTAAAGATTTCCAGTCTGGGGCCGAGGTGTAAGGAGGGAGAGCCGAGAGAGCCGAGAGAGCCGCGCACC